ACGTTCCAATTGTCAAAATGCGTGCACTTTTGTGGCAAACTTAGTGTGCCCTCATTACACTTACTATTTACCCCGACCCCTTTCTTTCGATGGGCTTATCCGACTCAGCCTCCAATCCGGATCCTTTCATTGTCTCGTAGATCCGTTCCTTTCTGGTTGACCGATTTCACTCGGGTCCAGTCCCTGTGTGCATTTCACTCCAGGCGCTAGAAGCAAGTATACTGCCGCTTCACTGGGCAGAGCACCTAAGCTCTGATTCTCATGCTTGCAGAAATCAGACCTTCCATTCACGGATTATGGTCACATATATTTAATCAGGGAGAGGACCCGTGAAAGCAAAGCCGGGGAATCAGAGCCTATGCACTCTGCTCGGTGAGGCGGCATGGTATGTGTTTCTAGGGCCTTAAGAAATAGCGCCTAGAGTGAAATGCACACAGGGACTGGACCCAAGTGAAATCGGTCAACCAGAAAGATAAGGAACGGCTCTACGAGACAATGAAAGGATCGGGATTGGAGGCCCAAGTCGGATAAGGCCATCGAAATAAAGGCGTCGAGGTGAATAGCAAGTGTGATGAGGCCACACTCGGTTTGCCACAAAAGGGCACACATTTTGACGATTGGAATGTAAACAAGTGAGAAGTTGTGGTAGAGCGGCAGTGGGATAATAGTGTAAAGAGTAGATAGATAGACAATGACAGAAAGAGGAGTGATAGTTTAACCCTTTTCGACAGAACGGTTGTCGAGGGATTGACTTCACTTATCTTTTTAAAGAGTTCGTAGCTTGTTGCGGAGAATGGCAAAGCTCACTGATGATGCCGACTACGATGCCGGCGAAACGTTTGAGAATGTATTAAGTCCACTGGAATCATTACAACTACTATGGCAAACAACTTTGGACTAGGTGAGTTCTACATAGTCACCCTGACAACAAGACCAATTGCGACGAGTTCAACCCACTTCAATAAATCGAAAGGAGACTGCGACCATAACAGAGGCCACAACATCTTGGTCTTTATATATTTCATTATTATGCTTCACTATAATTTGTGATGAGTTGTGACTTTTATAGTATCCTTCTTGTCTAAAATTATTTTCGACTAGTTTAAATCCCATCTAGACCCAGTCGATTAAAAGAGCTTGTCCACTATATATTAAAGCCACTTGAAAATATGGCTTTGGTTAAGTTCACTCTAACACACGGCTCTATTTTATGCTTATCAGTCATGTAGGCACTCAAGAAAATAAACAACCAAAAATTATTGTTTTTTCTCACGCTGCACGAAATTTGTTGATACCTTCGACAAACTGCTATTAGTTCGTTATGACTAAAAGGCGTAGACCTCGCAATACTTTCATCGCCACAAGTGTTTTGTGCCAAAGAATAATGTCATATTA